AGAGTGTCCCACAAGAGTGTCCCGCAACAGTGTCCCACAAGAGTGTCCTACAAGAGTGTCCCACAAGAGCTTCCTACAAGAGTGTCCCACAAGAGTGCCCCACAAGAGTGTCCCACAAGAGTGTCCTACAGGAGTATCCCACAAGAGTGTCCTACAAGAGTGTCCCACAAGAGTTTCCTACTAGACTGTCCCACAAGAGTGTCCCACAAGAGTGTCCCGTGAGAGTGTCCCACAAGAGTTTCCTGCAAGAGTGACCCACAAGAGTGTCCCACAAGAGTGTCCTACAAGAGTGTCATTTGGACATATGTAGCTTTTCGAACGTGTTTGCATTCGGGTTCGTGGGCTCCATCTTGTTCCCTAACCTGGTGGAAGGTCATGTTCTCCTACCGTGGTGGACGGTCTCCAGGGCTCCAGGTTTGTCACGAGCCCATCGCGGAGTGACCCATCCCGTCACCATGTCCCATATTGTGTTGCTTAAGGTGATTGTTTACCTTCCCTTTTGGGTCAATCTCCTTCTGGGGAATACTTCTTCCAGGTTCCTGAAGCAAATCCTAAGTGTCTTTGGACCGCCCAAGGCCTTCAAGTTCCTCGCGCTGAAGTCCGACGGTGCCCGGCACCGGCAGCGCGAAGGACTACCGATGAAGGCACTCCGAACCGGTTCCGTTTCGGCAGGGCCGAGCGTTCAACGGAAGCAATTGATACTGGCAGACTGGCAAACCAAAGTATGTGATTCTGCGAGGTGTGGTTTGGTTGATGTTCATCGGATTTTTTGCAGGAATGAAGTATGTAGAGGAATCTGTAACTTTCCAATTCTAGTTCCAGACAAGAAGATGGGGCTAGGAAGCAACAAAGTTATATAGATATTGATAGTCCCTACGTCCCCACTCAATCAGGCACCCACTTCATTTGCTTGGTACATGCTTGCGCCCCCCTTGCTTGATGCTTTGATACGAATATGACTTCTCCCGGCTTGCTGATCGATATTAGCCAACTAAGATGAGACTATGGTAAGATGCTGATTGGATATCGTTCTCGTTGCAGAAATGTCGACCGCCGATACAGCTATAGGAATCCCAAAGGATACGGATCGCTAAGGTCTTCAGATCCTGAGTGTAGTCATGAAACCTTCTGAGCTGCTGCCTATCATATCATCACAACATCTCCATTGTCGTGTATAGGGAAGAGTATGCAACCTGACATCAGCACAATGCCGGGGTGGGGTGTTTGGATTTTTTGTTGCTCACCTGTGACCTGTTCTTCTTCACATCCCCCCCGAACTTGCTGCACTTCATTCAGACTCCCCGGTTCGCGACCCTTCGTCGGTGCCGCGGGCGCACCGTGCGCGCCGGCGGAGGTCTCGCGGGCGCTGGTGCCGCAGCTGCTGCGCGGCTGCGGCCGCGCGGTGAGCGAGAAGCAGCTGTCCGAGCTCATGGGCTCGGTGGAGGAGGAGGGCCACTGAGAGCGGAAGGAGGGAGGCACACAGAGCACACGGAGACTGGGAGGGATGGAATGTATAGGCTTCAAAAAAAATAGTATGACTCCAAAACCCATAAGGTTTTTGAGAGGATCAGTTTGAGATGTGTGCCGTGTGTGTGTTGTTTGTAGTGGTACGTTCAGTTCTGTGAATGGAGACTGGGGGATGGCATAGGACTTCGACAACTTGACTAACTACCCTTCTCCGTTCGGTGTGCTCTTACACGGCGCCTTTGGATTTGCAGAGGGTCCGAGGGTTTTCGACTAAACCACGACATCCACACCAAGTTAAACCCTGTGTACGGGATCAAAGGACCGTCAAGATAGATCCAAAGAGTACTTAAACGAATCTAAACGGATAAGCTTTCAGAGGATTCCTTTGGTAGATTCTTAATTTCCCGAGTGGGTGAATTCCCTTCCTGGGAATTGTTATACATATATATTATTTTTGTTGGTTCTTTAAGCGACCCCAAATTTCAACACCCTGCCAGGTCTCCCCTCAAGGTGTTTGAAGACATAAAGAGGTGTAGTAGGCGGTGACCTATTTTTGAAGGGTGCTGGAATTATCCAATCTCTACTAACAGTTGAATAACAGGATACATCCGGTATGAACCCTGTGGATGAAATCTCAAACAACAAAACGATAGAAGACTGACCTTCCTACACTACTAGACTCTTTGTGTTCACCGCCGGGCCCTCTCGCTCTCACCCAACGTGGGTCCAACACGTCCAAGACCTCCCTACCAGGCTTTTCCAAGAGAGGTTGAACAGCCCTTTTTGAGCCATCCCATGCACCACACAGCCAGGCTCCGAACGTGAAGCGGCCTCTCAACCTCTCAAGGCTCAAGGCTCGTTCCTTCTACGTTCAAGCTGGACCGGAGTAACCACGGCCGGTCCCAAAGAACCCACGTCAAACCCGAGGCATTCTGCTGGAGGACTTCTACCGCCTCTACGAAGCGGCTGCGCAGGAACCGCTCCCCGACGAGCAGCAGCTCCTCTCCGCGCTGCGGGCGTTGGACGTGACGCGGAGCGGCGTGTTGGACGTGACGCTCGGAGAGGAGGTCGGAGATGACGATGGAGAAAAGCCGTTGTTTTTACTAAGTGGCGGTTTATATGTAATATATGTTGATTTATGTTGATAATTAGAATGTTGGCAGAAGTTGGCCCAGAAAGAGGAGTTTGAGATACTTTGAGCCAAGATGAGGGGATATGATATGGTCCTACTTTTCTGTGGAGGATCAATTTTGGCTCTAAAGGCAATCCTTGGGATAATGCTTGAGCTCCAAAACCATCATCAGGATGGTCTTGGACCCATTGGGTTTAAGCAAAACAAGTTATGTTTGAGCATCTTGGAGCGATCAAAAGACTATTCCTGTCATAGTCGTCATTTGGCTGCCATTGTTTTGCAAAACTAGAAGAACATGTCATGTCTAACTGTTTAACTCTCTATGTATGGTTGAAGTTCAAGTGGGCAGGCAGAAATCAGGAACTGACATGAGTCTTTTGGAGGAACTGTGCCGGAAAAGCTCTTATATAAGTGCTTCTCTCAGGCCTTACAGCTCCGTGATTTGTCGGGTATACTTCCCGTGTAGCCTAAAACCTGGTGTTCCTGCCTCCAAAGAGCCGCTGCCAAGTGGTCAAGTTGTAAATCTTCAACAACCAGATCCCTGTGGCTTGCTTCTTTGCCGTGCTTAACCTCCTTGTGTTTGGAACATCTTGGCACCATATTGGCTTGCTGCAGATGCGCTTAGACTTGATGGGGCTTGGGCTTGGAAAGACAGCCGGCAAATCTTGTTGAATGAACTTTGAAACCAAACCTTTGGGTGACCCTCATTTTGAGTTAGGCTTCCAGGGAGACTTGGACTTTAGGGAGTTGGACCCCACATGCGCATGCAATGCAACCATGATCCCACCCAACAGCTATTCTCTTCGCCGGGCTGGGGTAACACAGCCTTTGAGCCGGAAACGCCGGCGATTTCAAGGAAGACCATCCAGACCATCTTGTGCACCATGGGGGCCAAATGGCTGCAGAATGAAAGAGCACGTCGCTGACACCAAGCGGGTGAAACAACAGGTTTGGAGCGATAGGCCAGGGGTTTAAACATGATGCATTGAACATTGAAACCATGATAACAATGATTGACAGCGGAGTCAGAACATGCTTTGACCTCAATTCCTTTTCAAGGGAAAACTAGATTTGATCAGACATGCAAGTCAAGTGAAATGATGACTACCATGTTCAAAGTCAAACAATGTAGCAACTGCATGATCATACTAGCTCTTCGAAATGTCCGTTTGCGCTTTCGACCGGATAGAGCGCACAGCTAAGTGGGTTTGTGGTAGGAGGGCGAGGACGAAGACTTTCCATCAGCGGTGTTTATTGGCTTTTGCAGGATCGAGAACTTAACTTAAGCAACCACTATATTGCTGTGTGGTTGCAGTATAAGGGCCTCGGGCCTCGGGATACGCCAACATCATGTCCGGACTTCCCCCTCCTCCGACCAACATAGCAGTCACCTTCTAGCGACCTTGGGTTGTTGGAAAGCATCCGTTCTGTGACAGAGTGTCGTTTCTGTGCGCCGTGACGACCTATCTATGGAGTTGTTTTCAAAGCAGATTGCAGGCAGAGTCTATTTGTATACTGTACTAGTTTCTTCTAATGTTTTCCCTTGAGGTGTTCCTGTAGACCTTCGACCTTCCTGTGTAGGACACCGCCTATGAAACCCTTCCGGTGACGGGACAGTGCAGTAAGCCAGCGGGTCATTGAGGATCGCTTGCCGCAGTCCACGGTGGATGAGATTTTGCCGCTCGGGCGCGGTTGAGCTGGATTATATAAGGTCATTTGCTGATTTTTAACACGTTGGAGATTCCTTGACATCTACCACCAAAATCTACAAAGGTTGTAGATAAATGATGATAAATATTATTACTATAGTTGTGCTTCATGGGCACAATTCTTCGAAACGAGTTATACTATGTTTGTCCGTGACATGATGCCGAACTTCTTGAACACAAGACAGCTTCGTATTGAAAACAATCAGTAGGGCCAACTGCTTTTCAAGAGTTCTCCTGCACCAACCTGTCGCCTGTACAAGGCTGTTTTCACAAGCAGTCTTGAGCTCACGTTACTGCACCCTCCCCCTGGCAGGTGTTCCCACAAACGTACACATGCATGTGACCATTAATGTGACCATTCTTCCATCTCGAGGGTTACAAACATTGCTCCAACAAAGCTTCTTCTTGCGATCTCTTTGATGTTGCCGTTGCTTCTGGTTGGATGCTAGCAGACCAAATAGGTTCCTCTTGGAAAGTGTTTATTTTTGCAAAACTGTTGCTGTTGCCCGTGCATAATGTATTATTTTGTTTGCATGGGCGCACATTCCTGCGTTTGTGTATACTTGGCTTTTGGTGGAGATTATGAGCTATCCTATTTGGCAAAGTGCTACACATTGTTCATTTGATGGTAACAAGAGAAGAGTATGTAATGACAAAAGTGTACCTGAAGCGCTATATGTGTTTTTACTTGTGTTTCTCATGTGTTATTTTTTTAGTGGCAGCGCTCAACTTATTTGCAAGTGTCAGACAGCTTAGCATTCCAGTCGCTTTGGGTGTCCTTTTGCCCGCCGGGCATGTTCTCAACTGACACATCCGTGCCGCGGGGATTGGTTCAGAGCGGAGACATCAAGAGCCAGCGCCCAATTGTCCAGCTTAATCCAGAATATTCATCCCGCTGTTCGTGGTTGCGATGGCATCCACAGAGATGGCATCCAGAAAGTTTATTTACGTGGCTTGGCCTCAAGTGGTGGGGGAAACGGTGGAACCCCGTTGCTAGACGAGTGTAAACTAGAGCAATACGAGGTTGCCAATTGTGGTGGTTCAGATTGAAGGACATGTTTCATGTTAGAACAACGCAAGTCCATAGCATTGGCACATATCACATGGCACGGCATTCCTTTGATGTCCTTTGTACATCATGGCCTCAAAAACATATCCCTCCGGAATTAGTTTAAGTTGGTTGGCTGAGGGTGTAAATTTCGAGATGGAAGCAGCACAAGTGAGCAAGGTGAAACAGAAGACGTTGGATCTTCTTGTGTGGTCACTTTTACAGATTTCCATGGGTGCTGCACTTGGCACATTTTGACCCGACCAAGGCTAATTGCAACGGGCTTCATACTAGACAGATGCGCAACAAACTTAAGAATTGTTCGAAACTTAAGAATTGTTCGAAAATCCTGGCTTCAATGGAGGAGAACACTGGAATCCCGCAGGCCACGCAAGTCCTTGAGATTTTGTTCGGGAGGCTAGAGAGTCGAATATCCTGGGTAGAGAGTCGAATATCCTTGGGAGAAGCCACAGTTTCCCACGCTTTGGACTGGAAGGGGAAAGCACTCTTGAAGAAATTGTCTCGCCCCATTCGAAAAGCTGTTGCAAATTGGCACACAATCTTTGACGCACAATTGTGGGTTGAGTTCTGTGATCAGCTGGACAGTTGGGCAAAAGATACCGTGTCCCTCTGGGACTTGAGTGATCTCTTGGGCTGTCTCCTAGAAGAGGCTCTCTTTTTTGTTGGATCATTTTTGCAGATCTTGATGGGTGCTGCATTTGGCACCTTTTGCGCGACCAAGGAAACGGCGTACGAAGAGGCCACGGATTCGGTGAACAAATTTCATCTTCATCAGATGTACTCAAAACTCCACCATTGCTTCCCAGTCTTAGCTTCATTGGACGAGAAGACTGGAATCCCGCAGGCCACGGAAGTCCTTGACAAGATCATTGGGAAGGTGAAATCTAGTAATAAAAGCATCGGCAACGCCCGAGTGGGCGAGCTGAACTGGGCGGAGAAATCACGCTTCCAGCAATTGTCTCGCTCCATTCGACAAGCCGTTGCAAATTGGCACACAATCTTTGACTCACAATTGTGGGTTGAGTTCTGTGATCATCTGGACAGTTGGGCAAAAAATACCGTGTCCCTCTATGACTTGAGTGATCTCTTGGACAGTCTCCTAGAAGAGGCTCGCTACGTTCTGGCTTTGGAGGAACAAAGGAAGAAGGAAGACAGTTGGAACCTCCAGGTTGCTGAGACCGATCGCAAGTTGACTGCTGAGTTCGATCGCAAGTTGAAGCAGATGGAACTCAAGATTTTGGCTGGGAACCAGAGGAGTGAACAGCTTGAGGGCGAGCTCTCAAGGATGAAGGTTCAGTTGAAAGGCTTGCAGGATGATAAACTGAAGATGACCAAGGAACTGCAGGATGTCAAGTCGGAGAATGAGGACATGACTCTCCAAGCAATGACTGTCAGTGCTGAGCTAAAGGAGTTGAAGAACGAGTCTTTGATGCACACAGAAGCGCACAAGAAGCTGGAGGATCAGCGGCGCAAGACTGATGAGGCAATGGACTTAGCGTGCCATGGGGCAGAAATTGTTGAGAGGGTTCAGGTGTTGGAGACAACATTGATGAAGATGTCGGCTGAATTGCTGGAGCTTAAATCCAACAATCAAGTGCGCAGCATGAAGACAGAATCTGAGAATCTTCAGTTGCAGAGAGATCTACTCAATTTGAAGAAGGATTTGCATGAAGTGAATGTCAAGTGCGCCCGCACAGGTGTCAATGACAGAGTTAAGATGAAGAAAAATGATGTGAATGAGTTTAAGTCAACAATGCATCATGCAAAGTACCAAATGTGGCAGATCGAAGACAAAGAGTCCAGTGATGCCAGCTCTGATGCCTCTTGGGTTCGAATCCAGCAACGTGTAGAGACCAGCATGCTGCACAGTGCGTCATCCGGCTTCTCCATCGACACCAGTGGCCCCCGCTGCTTCATGCCCGATGCGCTCTTCAAGGCACCCGATGGCAAACTTCTGAGCGGAGCAGATTTGTACCTCAGCTGGCATTCACAAACCTCAAGCTGGCCAAGACCTGACATGTTGCATCATTTTGCCATAGGGCATCATAGGGCCACAGGGTCACCACGACTCCGACAGGCTAGCAAGTGGTGAATAGTAAAGGTATCCGACCACCAAGGGTGTTCTAAACCAGATGGCATGTGACAGCATCCGTCCGAATGTGTGTATGTTTGAACAACATCTAGATGAGGATTATGAAGTTTTGTGATTGCAATGGCCCATTGGCATATGTTCGAGTGGTCAGCGGTAGTAGTGGCAAGTCCACTGTCATTGAGCAGGCAACGGCCTACTTAGCACTGAATGATACTGGACCATCGCATGAACCATTATATATATATATACATGTTTAGGTAAGCTTGACAAAACTCTAAGAATTTGTTTCTGTGTTTAAGTTTTCTGTTGAATGGACAAAAGGTTTCCGATTTTCGTTCAAATGTGAATGTTGGTTCCAGTCTTTAACCTCACCTCAGGTGCAAAGACTCTCAGATCCTCTCAGCCGATGGCCAAACGAAATTGGAGGTCGCGTCTCCGCCCGAGCAGCACGCTGCGCGCGCCACGGTGCTCCTTCAGGCTCGGGAGGCCAAGTTGCAAGTGACGCCGGACCATCGGGTGGTGCTTGGCAATGGTCATTTGGCAACTTGGCCAAGTAACAGGCAGAATCTTCAGACATTGAAGGCATGTGTTTTTGTGTACTGATGTGTTTTGTGTGTAGGTTTTGCTGCTGAAATATAACAAGATGTCTAATTTTCCGCTCACGTCAGCTTGGAGCTTTGATCTCCTTTTCCTCAGGTCTCCGCTGCAGACCTGAAGGTTGGCGATGAGGTCATGGTAGGAGACCATATCCCCACGAAACTGACCTCAGTGGAATTTGTGCCAGGCCCGGTGACAGTGTCTTGGCTTTTCTTCCAGTTCTGGGTGATTTGGTATTTCCTACCCTTTTTTTTGCAACTCCTTTTCGGCAGACTCTGGAAGGGACTATATAGTTTTTTTTTTGCCACCGGGTGCCTTAAGCATCCAAGGTGTTGAAGATCGCTTTTGAGCCAGACGTGCCTGTGGCGGTGTTTCAGCCTCCAGCGTGCATCCATAGCCACGGCCACAAGCTCCAGGAGATTCGTCGTGCGGGAAAGCATTGCCGTCGGAAGGGCAGGAAGGCGGCGGAAGATGTCTGGAGCATTCCTGACACGGCTCCCTGGTTTTGCTTTTTGGATTCGTGTATATATATATATATATAGTCCTTATCGCCTGTTGGGACTGGTTGGGACTAGTACTTAATATAATTATGTGTATAGTTGCGATGGGTAATAACTAAATTAAGATGCTGATTATGTTTTTGAGAGCTAATCCAAGGCTCCTGGGTATTATTCGGATTGATGCTTGGACGTCACTTGGCCTTTACTCAACACCTCTTGCAGCAATAGTTCCTTGATGTTCCTTGTTTTTTTTGACCTTCCGTCCGAAGAAATGCTAGATGCTAGCTGCAGGCGCCCTTCACCCTATAGATACACTTTTTTGAGAAACCGCAACACCATAACTGATATATTTTGCTTTGTCATGTTGGAGCTCTCATCATTGATGGCTGCATGTGCTGCACGTGATTTGGATCGCAGACACACTAGGAGCAACACAAGTGGAGATGGAGATGGACCATTGTGGATGGACCATCGGAGCTCATTGTCGTGACCAAAGCTGAGTGCACGTCTCACCTATGAACACCCGGTTGAAGTTACAATCACTTTTGTCCAATCAGAAATTGCCCAGGTTTACTTTGTGTTGCCCAGTGGGGTAGCCTCTGTTCGGTCACACCACATGGTAGGAGACTAGGGCAGCTCATGATGGAAATCTGCAATCAACGTACAATGTGCCCGGTTTGAAGGTGAGTCGTGAGTGGCACGCATTGGGATTAGCCGAAGTGCTGTCCCCTTGCAGTTTGTGTGCAGGTTGGTCGCAGGTTTTGAATGCCACGTGTTCTTAGCACGCACCTTAATGTCAGCACATGCGACAATTGAAACGTGATATATCTGTACGATATTGATTGCAGATGGATATTCCACCTGTGCCAGATCGTTTGTGAATACTATTGAATTGACATACACCTGCAGCACAAGAAATCTGTTGGAGTAGATATGCCAAGTGGATTCCTTGCATTTGACATTTATTTGATGCTTGGGAGCTGATGTTCGGGTTGGAGTGCCACCACTGGTTTGGCCTAGTTCGCAGTGACAAGGCTGCGCACATCCAAGCACAGTGTCAGATGCTAGATGTTTTTCCCAAGAAACATGACATCACTAAAACTACAAACCGCAGGACACCAACGTGCTGTTTGTTTGTTTGTTAGTTATTACTTTTTCATCATGTGTTACTGTTGTTATTTTATTTCTTTACTTTATATTCCTTTAGCTGTTTTGTAGGCGGTGGCGATGATGCCGGGAGTTTCACTTGTGAGAAACCTCGGATTGATTCACCAGGAGTTCCAACGGATTGCTTGTCGCAGGTCATCCATTGTCTCCGGTGCATGTTTTTTCCACTCGTGTCGTATATGTTAGATATGTTAGTGCCCATGAATCTGTCAATTATTGAATAGTTAATAGTTGAAAGCTATTCGAACTCCTGGTGTAGCTTAGCCAAGAAGCAATTGAACGAATTCTTTGCACGTCTTCTAGCTTCACTCCTCATGGGTGCAAGGCCGAAGTGCCGCGTGTCCTGCTCGTGCTGCCGTTCCGGATTGTTTCAATGCCCGGTGTCCTTAGCACGCACCTGAACGTCAACCAAGGCTGCCACTGTAAAGGACGGGATTCATGGATATTCAGATGTACGTACTCAGACACTGAGGTATGGAGTGAATTAGAGCCTGACAATTATTGGCATGGCAAGGCTCAAGGTGTTCATGCTCATCAGGAGGCCCTATTATTGGCATGTGGTGGCCCTTAATGGTCCTGGGTGTTCTGACAGCTGCAGTCAATGAACCAAAATCGCCTATATATTCCATTGCTTTTGAACAGACGTGCCCTTGCCAGGCACTCAGGATCGCAACAAACTGGTGTTCGGGTTGGAGTGCCACCACCGGCGGAGTTCCCTATTGCACTCAAAGAGCCCAAGAGTGGCAGAGGCAGCTATTTGTGTCGACAGGTGGGTTGGTTTTGCACAAAACATGTTGGTTCCTCCATGGTCCTCCCATCTCTACAAAACTAGAGTTCTAGTCTGTCTAGTTGTCGTGCTTTTTGTGGTTCCCTTGTTCGATATCCCATCAAGCGTCGACAAGTAACGCAAGGAGGAAGCCAGCAGGCTCACTTCTTTGCTGCACAAGTGTTCCACACCCTCGGTGACTCCAATCTCGCCAGCGGGAAGAAAAGACGTAGAGCCAGCACCAAGCGATGGCTTGCTGGGCAATGTGCTGTTATGGAGGCGAAGTTGAGGAAACACCATCGCCCAATCCCACGGTTGAGGATATCGATCTACCACTAGCAAAGCTGCCTGCATTTCAGGGTGATTGGGGCGGGCATGGCCCTCATCCACTCACTGTTTACCATATTTTACCATTATTTCTTTGGCAATGACGGCATGCCAGAAGTCCACTTTGCAGAGGGTCAGTTTGCTGACCGTCAATGCAATTTTACCGCATATGTTTAGCACCTGGCTTGTACCAAACATGGATCCATCTCCCTCCAGAAACGCCCACCCCACGGCACGGACAGGCTCGATCACGCTCCCCGACGTCGGTGGTCGCCCTGTCTCCTCGTCCCTTTCACCTAAGGACAGGCCTTCCGAAGGACGGCCTTGGGCGCGTGAGCTGCCAACGCTTGGTGCGGAAGCTCCTCAAGGGACCCGACCAGATGCCGCACCTCTGACGGTGGCGCCGGTGCAAAGTGAACGTGAGTGAGGAGCTGAGAGAAGTGATTGACGTTTGGGATTGCTGAAGATGTAGCTGGTAACATCTACAATAGGTCCTGTAAGTGTGGAATCCATGGTGCGCAATGCTTCAAATCTGGAGGGATTTGATAGCCTGCGGGGCCTTCAGCACCTACTGCCCACTTCCATGTTAACGGCTTGGAGTAGCCTGAGCAGACCCCATCCACAAATTTGAGAATCACTTGCATGTTCAGCCTCCATGAAGTGTCAACTGCTCTCACATCCTCCGCATCTCATTCGCGCATGGAACATCTTAGACCGGGCAGCAGTGGGATTGACAGGACCGGGCTCGGCCAGTGTCCTGGTGTCCTAGAGAGGCTGTGTGGCACATTGTGACAAAGAGCTGATATTCTAAATCCCTCAGAGTTCATGTGGGGTAATTAGTTCATGAGATCAGGGTAAGTCACTCAAGTTATATCGTCCCTCACCCAGCACTCATGAGATCCCGTCATTATTCCAGACATGCTTGTAGAAAAGGACACCTTGTAGGAGGCAGTTCCCTTAAAGGGCACTGACTCCTGGAATTCACTGCGACCGGAGCCTATTTTGAGGCACATCGGTTGGTGTTATGGAAAAGGCTTTGGAGCTGCCAAGAGACCACAAGACATTGATCAGAAAGTGCGCAGAATGGCCTTGGGGAGAGGTGTACGTGGACCCGTGTGAAGGACTATGCCAAGGACTCTTTTTCCATCCATAGCCATCCACATAGCCCAAAATTACTCGATTTGGGACTGGATTGAGCCCTGGAACCGCTATGGTTGAGCCCTGGAACCGCTGTGAAATGATGTCCATTGCCTTGTTTTTGCTTGCGGAGGCTTTGTCCTTGCACGCGGATTGGGTCACCGCCGCCACCACTGGGCAAGGCTGGTCCTTCCCGCAGGGTTTGCGAATCTGAAATTTCTCATCCAAAGTGGTGGAGCTGGTTCAAAGCTGTTCAAAGGTCAAGTTTGGCTCAGAGCCTTCATACTTAGCAACAGGTGCAACAGCAACTCGGACAAAGCTGGTCCTTTCACTTCAGCAGGTCAAACCTATATACAATCACTTTAAGTAGGTTTTAGATTCACTTCTTGTTGGTAAGTTCTTTTTTTGAAGACAGTCTTGGGTATAAAACAAAGTATACCACCAAGTGAGGAGCTGCGGGCTTTCACATTGGGAATCGTCGAGAGGTTAGATCAAGAAACTCCACTCATTGACGAAAGGTCAAATCGCAATCACATGTCATTGTGTAAAGCACGTGTTTTTGTGTACCCGTAGAGTGGCGAAAGGTGCCTATCCGACCTATCCTATATGTACGACTATATATCGGGCCCCACTTCTCTCAACCAACCTCTCTTCGTATATTTGCTGCTCCTTCGCGCCCTCAGAAAGGCTTTCACCAAAGCACAGGAAGAAACACACCTCTCAAAAAACATCACCGAACCTCCTAAAAACCCTCCCAAATACATCAACAAAGACATCAAACCCCTATAACCTCCAAATACATCAACACACCTCCCAAAACCCTAAACCCTAACGTCCTCAATTGAAAGACCTCTTCCAACTCAGACGTGGACACTCCTCGCCAGGTCGCCGGCCAGCGATGCCGGTGAACCAGACGGAGGATGGAGGCGACCGTTTTAGACGGCCCAGAGACGCGGAGACGCGGGGTCCGGCAGGGGGGGGGTTACTGGGAGACAGAGACAGGGGGAGAAATTCTTTGCCAAGTGAGTGATCCATGAAGACAGTCATGTCCTAATTCAAGTCGGGTTTTGAATGGTTTTGATTTGATGGTCCCAACCATTGCTACAAGAGATTATTTGGGGTGTAGTGTTTGTGAGGTAATTGGTACGTGGACATGACAGGAGTGCACACTTTGCCTTTTCTCTTGCAGTCTTGAGAGCAAATTGAGCAGTGGTCAAAACTTCCCTAAGTAAAGATTTGAAGAACGGGACACGATATGATGCCTGGAAAAAAAAAAAAACTAAACTGCAGTCGCGGAAGATTTCACAAACTTTTCATGCGTGAACACTTGCACTGGGGAATCTTGCAAAGCTTGCGACATCCGTTCCGTCCGCAAAAGCTTGCAACAGTATGCAAAACACATACAGTATTTGTTGCGCTGAACGCAGCTCGCGAAAACCAAAAACGCACGCCGCGAAAGTGTTGCTACGAAAGGAGCATGCGAAAGAAGAGCATTAGAACAAATTCTCGACTGGTTTGAACAACGCTCGAATAATACCGTCCACGAGACATGAAAACACACTCCCCTTCAAGCCAACTTGGACTGTGGACACCAGTTTGTTATTCAGAACATCGGCGAGACCGTGTGCTTGATACAGGTCCATGGTAGCATATTTAGCACGAAAACCCGCTTACAGTCCCACTATGGCCAACTCTTCAACACGGCATACAGTAGCCACAACAGCTTAGCTTATAACATCTTATAACGCAATTACATTTCAGATAGCCTAAGGGCCCTCCGGGGTAATCTTGGGGGATCCTGCGATCTTCCCGACCTTCCTTTGGCTTTCTGAAGCAGAATGGTCAAGAAGAAGCCCAGTGCACAAGGTGGTCGGCGTACAACTTCTGGGCGAAAGCCCAAAACTTTAAGGACCACATCGGTGGTGAAGCATTCGGCTTTCAAAGTTCGCGATCTGCTGGGTGCTAACCAGGCCCGACTGTGCCAACATTTGATCCTAAGTCCGCTACGACCTTCTTGACCATCATCACAGTGATGTTTATTGTGACTGTTGATGCCACTACTCTATGGCCATGTGAGCAACCAATTCCATTTGGTGATGAGTCAGGAGGTACATCTGAGTGGCCACTCTGGCACAGGATTTGTACTATGGCAGGCGCAGTACTTTGTGGACCTTGAAGTGCAGATTTCGTGGCAGGGGCAGTGCTTTGTGCACTTGGAAGTGCAGTCTTCGTTGCAGGTGATTATTTTGTGAACCTTGAAGTGCAGATTTTGTGGCAGGCGCCGCGCTTTGTGGACCTTGAAATGCAGATTTTGTGGCAGGCGCTGCCAGGGGCGGATCTTCTCCGATTTGCAAGTGGTGGGTTCGCGCATCCGACTTCAATGCGAGCGGTCGCTGCCCATGGTGGAAGCATCGCTGAAGTGGTCCTCACACCCATTGTCACCACCAATGTCCGGACGTTTTGGATGATGTTTTCACCTCACATGGCTTGAGCATGTGGGGCCAATCATGGGGAAAGGGATCACACTGGCAAAAGCACGGTCATGTTCAACCTGTTTGCCCTTGGGACTGGAGATCTCCGGACATCACTAAGACCAAGTATGTGCACACGGATTTCTTCACCATCACCATCGCCATCATCACCACCTCTAGACCTTAGATACACTGTCCGGGGTCTTTTGCCGGGTAGTTTTTGAAACATGTTTAATGTTTTGTTTTGTTGTTTCTATGTTTGGGGTTCTTTGGCGGGTGCTACATTTGCAATTCGCAGGAGGATCCCCAAAGTTAGTTCCACAGGCTTGTTTGGACAGATTCATTGGTTGAAATGAAGGCAGATGTGGCTCTTTAAATTTCGATGGTGCAAGGGGCAGCTCTTAGCACATCGCACTTGCTTGGGCGATGGGCAGTGGACTTGGCCCCCCAGAACAGCTTCTAAATTCAAAAGTTGCTCTCATGCAAGACTTGGCTGTTGTCAAATTTGAAATGATTTGAGATATGTGAGACATTTTGAGACATCTTAACTTAATTGTTTCGGTCCAAATGTCAATGTCAAAGCTACTTATTTGGGACCCTGCTTTGCTGACGATTGTTTGTTCCCAATTGGTTTCCCCCAGGTCAGACTTTCTACTCCCTAAGTCCCCCACCTTGGCGTCTCTTCAGGACGGATGCGGCGCCACAGCAAGCGAGGGGCCGCCATGGCCATCCAGCAAGGTGGGAAGCATTCGATCCACAGGACTGAGTCACCAAGGACAGTGGTCCGACCGAGTCTGGCGAATGATGGTTGCGTGGTAACTGGGATCCGGGCGTGTGCCATGCTGCGCCAAAAACTGAAGGGGGTTCTCATGATGCTTGGGACTTGGGTATATCAATCCCATTGCCTGTCATTGCCAATGGATGATGGCTAGTCCAGGCCTTTCCCAGTGATGATCACCCCCCACCCCCTTCAAATAAATAGACAACATTGAGGTGGTGTACACAAAGGAGAGGGTTCATACAGCTATGACTACAGCTATTTACATATCTCTCTCTCTCTATATATATATATACACATATACAGAGAGAGAGAGAGAGTTGTACACTACATGGAGGGGTTCATGCATGGAGAGGTAATTGGAGAGGTAATTGGTGGGGGGGATGAGAATCCCCATAACCCTACCCAGGAGAAGAGGATATATAACCTGCATTGTGTTTATTGTAATTTTGTTTCCGCCGCGAAGAAAAAAACTGGTGGACACTTCAGGTTCCGCCTCTACTTTCCAGGGGTTTGCCGGCATAGGGGTGTCAGTACAGCAGCCGCTCGAACAATGAAGCTCATGCCACCCTGGCCAGGCTCGGATTGTCTATGCGTGCTGCCGCCCCAGAGCAATGTCCGTTTGGCCGCTGGGTGCGACGAAGTGACGCGACGATACGCCTCTCGTGGCGGCTGGGAGGGGGCGATTTCTGGAGAGAAGGGTGGATGAATCCTGCACAGCTGTTGATTTTTGTTTGGCACTTGTGTGACCTCACGAGACGGGTGTTCAACGATCCTGGACGATCTGTTCGGGGTGTTCCGGCTGGAGGATCTCTTTGGAGAGTGTAGGTTACAGGTAGGGGGGTACCCCAACATAGCCCACACCTAGTAGAGGAAAATCGTCTCCCATCCAGTTCCAAGGGGCAAACTCTTTGGTGATGCATCACCTTTGGATGGACAGGGCTCTCTTTGTTATAGCATGTTAGAATTTGTGCACCCTGTGAGAACTCCTACCGACATGGTCAACAAACAGGATGAACCCTGGTAACGATGGAACTCCAGTACGCACTGGTCTCTATCTTGCTCAGATGGACGCTTTCACTTCCCAGTGCCAGATTGATAGGAGAAACATCTATAGGAAACCCATAGCTTGTGGGGGTGAAACCCATGACCCTTGCACCAGGATCACTCTCATTGAATTGCATTTAACTTAAGAAGGTCAGTTTATCCCTTCAAACCGTTATTCGTATATACACCCCCGAAGATTAACATGGAACCTGAGAATGGACCTTTGGAAGACTACTTTCCTTTAACACCGAATGGTTTTGGGGTTTCCATGTGAATCTTCCAGGGTGTAAATATATACGGTGTGGATCAGATCACAGAAGATTAACATGGAACCATATTAATGTTAACCACGGAAGAAAGACCACAATATCACGGAAGATTCCAGATGTTAATCTTACAATATGAAGATCGCATGGATCAGATCACGGTGTTTTGATCGCTTTTGGCCTATCGGCCGCCACCCGGGTTATCCTCTCAGGTCATGTCCATCGTGGGGCTCCTGGCGATTACCTGGGACGTGGTGCCCGGGACGCTCGCGACGCTTCGTTCGACGCGACGCTTCGACGCGCGAGACGTGGTGCCCAACGCTCAGCTCGACACGTAGGGTTTTTCACACGATGGGTGCGTGAAAGATGGGATGGGTGGGAAGGTTCACAAGAGTTGTTTTTGTTTGTTTGTGGTATTCGGTGATATTCAGAGCTATTATATGTTTGAAGCTCCCATGTAGAATGATGTCGAAGTTGAAGGCATCTATTTTCGAAGTTGCTGGATCAACTTCGTAAGTTTCTGGAAGGGCTCGAAGCAGACCTATAATACTATAAGGGCCACCGCGCACTCCACAAGAATCATGGCAGGAAGTATGAACTGGTTATTGCGTTCATCTGCCAGCATGAAGTCCAACAGGCTGACGCATTGCAACCTTTGGTCCGATATGCTGCAGCGACCTACCTGAGATTCTCCCAGAAGATGCTATTTCCCTGACTTGAATTGGGATAAGTGGAACTGAGACCATAAGAATTTGCTTTCCAAAGAAATTGCCACGACATGACCGTTGTTTTAACTAACATTGCAGGAAGGTACAACGGTGCAGTGTGGCCACCCTCGTTCAGTTTTTCACCCACATCACATTGTTCCAAGGGGACATATCAATGCGACAATGTTTGACACGTTTCAGAACCTTGCCTTTGTTGCTTAATTGTTGCTAAGTATCACAGGCACAATCGTGATGCTTATTATTGGGAGGGTTGTTGATTCAAGCTGCGTATAGATGTCCAATTTCGTGTGGCTTGCGCCTATCAATACCTGGGCCACTATATGATGCATGGTCCTGGACGTTGCACCAGTATTTTTAGGAGGTCAACCAGTGGATTTCTCAACATCAGCCGTTTCCAGATGCTCCATGTATGACATGTATTACTGGTATGTATCTATTATATATATATACACACCGTATACAGTGATCCCTTTTCAACCACCCCAACTCATCGGTCCATGTGCCTGTCCCAATGGGTTGTGTTTGGGAGTGAGTCGTGACATCCTTCGCCGCAAGCGCCAGTTTGACACATCCCCATGGCCACAGGTTTTTATCCCGGTGCAAGCCTTCGAGAGCGTGCCCCTTTGGCCGCAGACTGGCCCCACGAGTGTGTGCTCGGTTTCAGGAGCTCTCCTGCCTGGACCCTCCGAAGTATCATAGAAAATGAGACATGACCCCATAATAAAAACAGGTCTTTGTACCCATTTTCTAGGGTACCAACAGGTCGACTCCAGGTACTTGCTTAACCCTAGGGCTCCAACCATATCCTCAGAAGATGGTTAGACCCCAAAACCCACCCCAACCACCTTGTCAGGAGGTGGTTGGAGCCCTAGGGTATAAGTACATTTACCCCATTGATGATCTGACTTGCCTCAGGTCTCCGACCTTCCAAGAGGTCTTGCAGGTCGCGACGATCCTGGCCGCTTGGGTGCGAAATGGGGAGGGGATTAGGTTGGCAATCCAAAGTTAGAGTACCCAAGATGTGGCACACTGCACACAGACACGGAATGTGTATGCTCAGTAAGTTGTATGCCATGTTATAGTTTCCAATGATTCAGCTTGAGCACAGTAGCATCCGTATGTTTACCAGGGTTTTGTTGAGGGTTTGAGAGGCAGGGTTGCCCCCAGACTCCCAGACGAGAATAGCAGATGCCAAAGCTAGTATGTTCTCTGAGGTTTTTGGCTATTGGATCTTGGACTTTGTTCTTCAGTTCTTCAGTGCTCCAGATCCTTGGCTTGAGATTCCGGCGATCTCGCGAAGAGAGGGACGTGGAGAGGGTGGGCGCGCTTTGTTTGTTTGTGTTTTTGTTCTTCTCACTTTGCAAGTTCTACACAACTAACGAGGATTCACAAGTAAGATTGGAGCACATGTTAAGCGCCAAGGAACACTCTTGATTCCATTTGCTTGTTGGAGCCATCTACTGTACTTCAGCATGACTGGGCTCACCATGTGCATGAAGCCCAAACACATGGGCCGCAGTCTGGTAGATCTTGTCCCTTGCTGATGGATCGGGCTATGCTTTTGTAGCCAGAATTCGGGCTCTCATTGAGAACAATACAAGAGGACAAGAGCTATTCCATGACAATATAGATCCTTTATGCCAAGAGGTGCTTTTTTCAAGAATTCGACCATAGATCATTCAGAGCCACCATGAAGACCAGTGGTTGTGTGAGAACAATACATGTGACTGCATTCTCTTCTGGGGAAGTTTGGGATTGATTCCTTAAGGAAATCCAAGATAATCCAAGTGTTCACTTGCAATCATATCGGATCACAGCTGTGTAGTTTGGGGCTCATGTTTGTGTGTTACCGCATCAAACGCAACTGGCAAAGTGCCACCAGCTGTGCTCATGAAGATGTTCTATAGTATAATAGATGAAGAAAGCTGAGCTGGGCAAATTGATTCATACCCTACCCCCAAAAAGCCAACCGTTGTGGCACAACCAACGTATATGTTTACCGGAAGTGCATCGAGCCTCCAAGCCGTTGCTTCGAGCGTTCTCCATTGGAGACACCGAGCTTCCAACCTGCTCAGGACAACACCAACAACGCAATGGACCTGAGGCGCCCAAGGGGGCGTAAGGACGCTGGAGGGGGGGAGTGGGAGCGACATATCTGCGGAGAGCAACAGGTTCAATGGAACGGTGTTAAGGGAACATCGACCTATTTCTACAGGACACCGGACACCTCTTTTTTGGGGGTTCATCCACCCAAACACCGACCATTTCAATGGGCGCATGGAGAAGCGAATCAGAATTGGCGCCCAAGGCCGACAGAACATGAGTCTCCTCCACACAAGACTCGGGTCAGACTGAAGATGATCATGCAATAGAGAAAAGATAGAGAAGAGAGCTCCCAGAAGAACACATCAGACGCAAATGGTCAAGCAGCAAGAGAGCAGCATGAACGTTTGTTTTCTACATGTTTGCTTTGAAGCTCCATGTGTCTGATCAAATCGGCAAAGTATGTTACTGGAATCAGCTTATTTCCTGGAGAATGTTAGGTTTCCATCGGTTTCCCATGTTTTCCATGCATTACTATAACAAAGCTTGGGCATGTTGTCAATGCAAGATGCAGGTTACTTTCACCAGCCCTACTCAGGTACTTGGAATGCTTTTTGTTGTTGCCGCCTTGGTGCTGTCGCCCTCCACGTAGCCACCTGGCAGGCTTAAAAATGTGGCGCTGCTCTACGCGAGGAGCGGCTGGATGTTCTTAGCAGCTTGGATTCACCTTTGCAGGGCATGGCTGTGGTGGTGGAGGCACTTCTTTGCTTTGCCTTGCATGAGAGGGTCTCCCTTCCAGATCTACCGGCGCAGAAACAAAAGCCGCTAGTTCATGTCTTCCTTGTAGCCCGGCCGCCCGGCCCACTCCCTGACAAGGACGTGCCATGGAAAGGACGTGGCATGGCAAAATGGCACCCCGTTGGATCGGACGACCAGCGAATTCCTCGAGTTTGGCACAGTGCTTGGGGAGTTTGGCGTGTCCATGATGTCAGGGAGTGTAAATGGTTGCCACTCACCCATGAGTGGGGCAGTGGTAAGGTTCGCATGCAGCCCTTGGATCTGGAAGCGTAGTACATGGCAGATTCAAGTTTCAATGGCGTCTCAGTATGACCCTCGAGACAAGAATTTGGGGGGGATCGAGTAAGAATGCATACTCATGTATTGAAACTTATTATAGGGAGTGTATTTATTGCATTTTGACATCTTGCAAGCCAACACCAGCTGTGAAAATCAGTCCCTGGAAGGCGATCTTCCTTACTAATTTCTATGTTTGAAGTGTTTGAGGGCTTCGAACAAGTTCCTGCAATGGCTGCTTCACTTCCTCATGCAGCCTGACACTCAGGACTTGCTACTACTAGGCCGGCGCATGAGCAGTGGGCGGCGGGTGTTGGGGTGTCGTGGAGCAGAGCTTCTACTTGTGGCGGTTCTTTTGCTCGTGGCATGCACTGAGACCAAAGATTAGAGGTACAGGTAGAGGAAATATCATTGCCACTCACAGACCATCAGACACAGAAATCTAACTCATTGGAGAATTGGGTTGCTTCGTAAGCCCAAATTGTGCGAATCTCTGTCTCCTTGAAGAAACCCATGGCAAGCACGTTGTGGCCTATTGGCTGATAGTTGCTACAGGCTATAGGTATTCAGAAACTTCCCCTGTCATTGTCTCCTGGTCTTGTGGATCGAGTGATGTTTACGCCAACCCCATGAAGCCCCTTCTCCTTCTGGTGATTTTTTGTTTGTCTTCTGGTTCCAGATCAGATGATTGAGATCTCCCCATCAGAGCCTGCCAACCTCGCAGATGGCCGGACTCCCCTGGGTCAACCGATGAAATGAGCCCCAACAGCAGTCGAACCTGGGTCTCGTCAGGCTTGGACATCGGACGCTCGGAGAGAAGTTGTGGCTGGGTTGGTTTGGTGGTCGATGAAAGGCATGAAACCCATCATGCGCAATGAAGCTTATGAGTAAGCTTATGCTTTTTGAACTCCCACAACTGCTTTTTGTTGGATTTTGATTGATTTTGTTGGTTCTTAGCATGTCGTTTTTCGTGACTCAGGTCCCCACCCCTGTATGACACCAGCCGGGTGCGATTGTCAAGTTGTGCTGACTGGAAACCCTACGAACACAGGTCCATCAGGTGGTTTTTTGTCGCGTAATTAAGCATTCCCCTGCAACCGCGCCCGCTGCTGGCGCACGCCAAGTGTGCCTAGCTCCAGCAAGCTGGACAGATTTGAGGCTTCTGTAGAATGCGGAGGTGGCAAGACTGCCCGTGACTACCCTGCGTTGGTTCAGAAGAATGAACATTCACTTACTTCCACATGGACTTGCATCTCCAGGTCCTGGGAACCCAGATATGATGAGACCCCCCTTTTTGTGTTTAAGGTAAGAACAGATCATACATTTTTGGAGTCTTCAACCGGAGTCTAGAGATCACTCTAACTAGCTTCAGAAGATTTCAGAAGCCCCCCCTCCTCACATCTCCTTACCAAATGTCGACTCACACCCCTTGCACCTCGATGCTTGCCTCGCCACGCTCCGAGCCACGCTCCTCCTCCGCCCTCCTCCGCTGTATCCGAGCCGCCTCGCCTCTAGGCCTCTTCTCGGCGGAGATCCACATCCGGAACCGCACCACCACCACGGGGCTCAACTCGGTGCGCCTCATCCGGGTGCTGCGCCTGTTGAGGCGCGAATCGCTTCGTAAGAACGACGCGGTGCATGACTTCGGGGGAAGAGAAGAGACTGGGAACATGGAAGTGCCGGAAAAGATCTCCCTCCCCCCCCAAAAAGAAACTACGGGGTAGAGTTTGGCAAGATATCATATAGCATGTGTCCGCGTTCTGTTTTAAGAGGACTCGAAGGTCGGGGTCAGCTAGGGGTGGCAACAACATGCAGGACTGCTGAGGTTGACCGAAAGGTTAGGCATCCTTGTGCTGTGACATGTTCAGCCACAGTTACAGCAACTGTATCAGATTTGGTCGCGGACCACCTTACTCAAAACACTCCAAACCCCAGGGCTAAGAAAATATCAAAATAAAGGGATAACAACCATTTGGCAACATTGGTCGTTCTGGGACACTAGCGCCACTTGATGGTGACAACGCCTTCATGCAATTCATGATAATCATAATGTAATTCTGCTGAATCACCACAAATAGGTGTTTGTTTCTCCCTCCCTGGGACATGCCATTCCCCGAAGCAGACGGCTCAGGTTCTTCCGCGCCTCGGCGAGGAACATCTATATAGCTTCGCTTGCGCATCGCTTCCACCGCGCGGGCACGCGTACGAACGTGCGTGTGCGGTGGATGGAGCTGGGTATGCGCAGGCGGCTAAGACAGTCTCATATGCACTACCGCAACCCTCAAACAAGTTGGTTTGGGGGACGAAAGGCGCTCGACAGGCCGACTGGACCCTGCGTTTGGACGCTTTTTCTACGGTCGACCGTGCTTCAGGACATGGGAAGATCAAGGTAACTTCAGAAGATCATGTGAATTGGGTCTTCGTTCTACACGTTATTGTTGTTATAACTTATAACCCTCCCGGAGTGATTCTTGTCAGCGAACGCTTCACCTCAGCTGTCCCAGTTTTTAAGTTTGTAGACTGACCAGAGAACTTGTCGAGGGCAGCAAAGACACGTGGGGAGGACATCGGACAAAAAGAAGGTCCTGGCACAGCATCATCCCACAACTTGGTGTGGACCCTTGATTCATTAACCCCCCATATGAAGAGGATGTCCAATTCAAATGAGAGGTATTCCTAATCAAGAGTCTACATTGCCAGGTTGGATGGGGAACCCTTTGGATGGTGGAGTGCCACTCCTTGGTGGTTGGCTTGGAGTGTTGGAACACTTGATCTTTCAATATCAGAACTTCACTGTGTATTTCCAAAACTTAGCACAACTAGACTTGCACCTTCAAGGGCGTGGATTTAATTTGGGGCCCGCTTCGGACCCTGCGGTCGACTCAGCTGCTTCGGACCCTGCCGAGTGACCTTGGCCGAGGATTGCTTCGACTGAGCCGCGTGCAAAAGACCTTGGTCTCGATCCTCACGCGGTTCACCTCGTGTCTCGCTGGGCACGGGGATTACGACGGGCCCCAGTGGCATGGGGGCAGGGTGGAGATGGGCTCGAGACAAGGAACAGTTGGGCTCCACAAGGAGGGTGTAAATATGCGTCGACTTCACTAAGAGGTGTCCAGAATATACATAGATTGGCAATGTCCATACACACTGTCCACTGTCCACCCAATGTTATTCAACTATACAAGCACTCTCACTGCCAAGTCACCAATTGAGACCTGTGAAGCCTTAAGAACCCTCCAACGAGGGACCTGTTGGAGGGTGCTGGTATTCAATGACATTCTCAGAAACCTTGCAAGGCCCCAGTCACTGAAAATCTGACCCAGAATGACTTCTGGGAACGTTTGTGAATGCTGCAAGCTGTTGATGTTCTTCTGGTTGCCACTTCTTTCTTGGGCAACTGCCGGTTCCAGAGGCTAAAACATAATAGAACCATAGACCTAGAAGACCTGGCAACTGTGATCCTCGGGCATCTGACGAGTTGACCTGCTCAGCGGTTCGCTATTAAGGTGCTTGCGGGTACCAACAGGGCAGGTAGGTAGATATATTGGGGGAAGATGAGAAAAGCGCACAATCCGACTCATTCAGTGAAAGTCTTGGAAACTCTTCAACCATCGTGATGGCGAATTCCTGAAACACCGCCGATTTATTTTTCATCGTCACCACCAAGGTGGACATTGGCTCTTTACACACTGTGGGTTCGAGTGCGCAACGCTTCGACTTTTCAACTCCGAACATTTCGTTGGTCGGTGCCCCACCTCGTCGACGTCTCGGCACTGACGACTCAGGGTGTACTTTTGGATGGCCATGCAGATGATGAAGGGCATCGTCATCATCCTGGTGATCAACCACTACGTCACGCATCTGGGGCGCAGATGGCGCGCCGTATATTTTCTCCAGGCCAACCAAACAACCAAGAAATCCAAAAAAAACTGGTGATGATGGAGGATTTCTCCAAAATATGTAAATGTAGTTTCTTCACTTCTACTAGAGTAGACCTCAAGAATATAATTCCAGACTCCAGCCCACCTTGAAGGTTTCAGGAAATGAGCCTGAAATATATGAAGACTTGGCAAAACTTCAGAACCTTCATCAATACAGTGACAATATGTTCCACGTTACACGTTGTTTCTTCTTTCTGCAGACTGCTATGAAACGGTTATACATGTAGAGTTTCTTCCTCCAATGGTGGGGACACTGGCTCTTAACTCTCGCAGATGCCACCAGTTTTAGGTGCAGGGTTTCCTTCAATAGTGATGTAGGCTAGGGCCAGGGGTTCCTAACTGGTCCTAACTCTCAAAGAAAGCAATGTAGACTTGTGATCGACCATATGAAGAGCTTTACAACCCAAATGAAGGGAGAGTTTATTCATCAGGAGTCTACATCCCAGACACTCCATGTATGCCATACATGCCTACATTGACCCCTCAAACCACCCCAATGTAGGCATATTGGCATACATGGAGTGTCTGGGCATTGTTGGAAGCCAAGGCTTCAAGGGCTTCAGGTTTTGAGTCGATGGCTTTGGTGGTTTCCATGCGCTCAGAATGCCTTGTAGGTCCAGCGATGTTGGGGTTTGTCATACTAAATCCTTTCTGGTTTCTAGCAATCGCCTGGGGAATTGGTATTCCCACTTGACTTGACTCTGTACAGTTTAAAATTACGACTTCAAGATGTTCCATTCTTCTTGTGTTGGTTGATTTTGCAAAATTGAGAGGCTATCGCGGCTTTCATTGGATGGACCGCTGTGAAAAAACATGTGACCAGGGTGATCACTTCAACAGCTTGGTTTTGGGCTTTGTGCAGAGTTGAAGCCTAAGCCTCTACAAACAAGACCCTCCTAGACCTTCCCTCTATGGATTTGCTCATGGCAATTGCCACACTTGTTGACCGAGAGAATGGGTCAGAGGGACTTTCGAACTCAGGGGTCACCTGGCGAAAAAGGTCGCCCCTACACTACTTATTACATAAAATCTTATATAGGTCTCCAGTCAGGACACTCAGACAGGAAGTGCGAGGTATTTTACTTTCCATCAGCTGCCTCGCCTAAAAATGGACACCTGCCGTTCTTTTCCATCAAAGTTGAAGCGCTCAGCCTTCCCTCAGAAGCTCAGCTTTCGCTCAGTGCCTGAGGATCGGTTGGTTGGTCTTGGGCCGCTCGGAGGGAAGCTCCAAGGAGGTGGAGGGCTTCCAGCTGAGCAAATCCTACCTGGACTTCTCAAAAGCATCCAGTTCACCATATTCATTGACCCCATCTATAGTCAGTAAGATCATTGAGTCATGTAGTATACACTGCCGCAATGCCTGAAATCATGGTGGAAGTGGAGTGAAAACCATTTGTTTGGTCTTCGGAATGCATGGTCATCCGAAATTGGAACCAGGCGACTGTGGGTTGGGTCATGGCACCTCACCCACCATCATGGCACCTCACCATGGGTTGACAGGTTTTCCCATCCTTGGGAAAAAAAGACAGTAGAGGAATTTGTTCAGAACTGACCCTGGGGGGGTTTGGCCCGCTCCAGTGGTGCCATGACCCATATAGCTTTTTAAAGCCAACTGATGGGTCTTTCTGAGTCTGCTGGGTGCAGTAAGATCCAGCAGTAAAAACAACGATTGTTTGGTCAAGGCTACGGCTATTGCAGTGGTTGGAATTCTAGGGCGTGATTGGCTTTGCTGGGGTCAACTCACCGGCACCGGCGTGCTGTTTTCGCGGCGTGAAACGCGTGCAGCTCGGCCTCCAGTGGTCCAAGGCGTGTACTACCCGGGTCACACCTGGTTGGAGGAGTTCCAGCTCGCGGACAAAGGCTTCTCCGAACAGCACCTCGGGGTTGCAAGCACGTGGCGAACAAAAAGCAGAAGAATGGAGCCGGAACCCCCCCGGGCCGCTCAAGTTCGACTCCGTACAGCTCCATGTACTGGTCGGAGTTGGTCTCCTCATTTCTGAGGGTTCGTTGTTGGGCCTCAACTCTCGAACTGAAAACGGGTTGGAATTGGTGACCCAGTTGGTGGACCTTCGGAAGCTACGACGAAAACCGACCACCCTAACTGATCAGCACATTGGCCACTCCCAGACAGGGTGATGCTTGGTGGCAGTTGGATCTAAGTCACGAAAGCCGGGTTTTCAGTTGAAGGATGTTGTTTCGATCATAGCTGGTCCATGCTGGTCCTTGAGGGCTTCACCATACGCATCGGATCACAAGCTTCCCCTCACCCATTCAGTCTTCCCAAGCGAGGTTGAGAGACCTGAACTGGGACCCCAACGGATAGGAATGGATAGGCTGTAGGGCTGTTCAACCTCTTTGTACTTGCGCTCGATTCCAGCGCGAGCTGCCAGGTTTGAATGGGGTGGGTGGATGGTGGATGGACGATTTTGAAGTGAGGTCAGGTCATCTATAGACTCTTTAAATTTTACTCATAACCCCCGGCAGAAGAGGTTTCCCCCATGGTTTTGTAACCCAACTTTCCTCAATGAATCTCAACAAATCCTGGCGGATTGATGATGATGTTATTGGTCTCATGGGTGACCCCGACTGACTCGAGCACACTCCCACATCGTTCATCATTATCCCCCCCCGTCGGGGCTTCGGACGACCGGCCCAGACAACGGCGCCGCACACGGCCCGCACCGAACGAATGGCCGGGTCGGTTGAGGTATGTGTATTCCTTCCACTGGGCCATCGCACAGTCCCTTGGCTGCGACCTTCGACTCGGGGGCCGGGAGTTACCTGAGTGCGAGCTGGAGCCTGCCTCCGATCCTTAGGAGTGGAGGTGAGCTTTTTTTCCCAGATTGGAGACACTGTTATGTAGGTTTGGAGGGTCCAAGTGCCGTACCTGAGGTTCGGTACGACTGGATCCCTAAGGAGAGGAAACAGCACTTCGTGTGTGTTCAGGCCCTGAGCGAACAGCACTTGCCTGACACTGTCAGTGAGTCGGGGTCTTGTTCGGAGTTCACAGACTCGGACGTGTTGCATGACTGACCCATCAAATCGGAGACTCGGAGATGTCTCACCAGGACCCTCCTGGCCAGGCTGTTAGACCCGACCACAGGTGTTTTCTGGACACCGGTGAAGTCGCCAGGTAACACCGGTGAAGTCGGGTGCTGGTTCTTAGGTCCTTGTTTGGTGGAGCGGCCGAGCCGAGTCCATGGTCTTTTGTCGCTGCTGTTGGTGATGGGGCCCGGCTCAAAGCGGCGAAGAGACTTATCTAGAGGCATGATGTCGGCGCCTGTCAGCATGTGCTTTGGGGCTCTGGTGCTTTCCTTCGTGATTTTCCTGCAGGGTTGTAACCATCCTTCAAAGCCTGAGAGTACAGTAGCAAAGTATATTGGTGCCCAGTGCAACGTTTTGACCGGAGACTCCTGCAATCCGGTGCAACTACCACTATACGCTGGTGAGGACTACAATCCACTTGGCCTATTCAATGTGACAGATGAAGAAGTGAAAACAGACTACATTGAGCACCGAGACGAGGGTACACGGGTGACTTTCTCGCAGAGCGTCTCTGATATTTCCACCCGGGATGCGTGGGATTTTGGTTTGTCCGGCCCACTTCCGCAACTGGGGCGCATCTTCTCAGCTGGGGCAAAGTACCGCAGCTTGGCGCAGCAGATGAGTGCGCACAGCTCTTCGAACTACTATGCTGAGAGCTCTAGTAGGTACATTGTATACACAAAGCACTTGTCCCAGGATGCCGGAGCACGCTTGGCAGAGTCCTTTCGCAATGCAGTGACCTGGTTTTGCTTGCCCTGATGTTTGGGTGATTTCCCTGTACGGGGAACATGTTTTTTTTCAATGTTTTACTATAGATTTTTCTATTTAATATATCAATGCTTGATTGACTGCTATATGCAAATCCAAGGTGAAGAAGCTTCCTGAAAAGCCCCGGAGTGAAGAGGACTTCACTCAATGGTTCCTCTTCTTTGAAACCTATGGCACGCACTACGTGAAGAGTGTGGCCTATGGAGGGGAAATGCGGCTTTCAGTATTTTTCAAGTCTGATGTTGAGAAGGATGAGAACGTGAAGAAATCCAATTGGGAGTTCTATTTGAGGGCTCTTTGGAAACGCCTGGCTGGAATTAAGGTCTCGTTTGGTCATGAACACAGCCAGCAGGAATTCGACTCATTCTCGCAGTACACCTTTCAACAGAAGTTCTATGCCATCGGTGGGGACGCGAGCAGCCACAATTACACCCAATGGCTGGCAAGCGTGAAGAAGAGCCCGGCACCCATCAAGACAGAGTTGAAATCCATTGCGGATTTCTTGCCGACCTCCATTGAGTTGTTGAAGATTTTGAACAGATACTTTGAAACTTGTCCCAATTCCGAGCTTGGGGTGTGCAACGGCTATGGCCAGTGCAACTTCCAGGAGCGGATCTGTGAATGCAATGCCGACACTGCGTACCAGGAGGAAGATGGGAACTGCTACCCCAAGTGTCAGAACAACTGCAGTGGACACGGGCAATGCGTGAAAGGCATTTGCCAATGCGACTTCAAGAAGGAGTATAACATGGGCTTTTGGTCACCTCCAGGCAAAGGCGCTTGCTCTGAGCCTTGTGGGCAGAAGGTCTATGATGTTGGCACCAACAGTGCTTTGTGTTGCCCAAGCCAACCAGGATGCCTGTTCATGGCAGTGCAAGACGAAGCTCCAGATTGCTTTTGCCAAAAGATGATTCCATTGGATCATGTGCAGGGCCATGGAGAAATCCATGATTTCTTTGTTGCTCCTACCACCTACTCATGCATGACCAATGCCCAGCTTTGTTGGGGCATTACATGCCCCGTGTACCGGAAGGTCACTTGCAGTCATGGCTCTGGGGTCGCATGCCCCAACACGCCGATGAATGAAGCCTATTCATCGCAAGTGATCATTTGAAGTGATGCTTGGTTGTCCGATTTGACTTGACTGCTGAGAGAAATGTGAGATGCTGTGAGCTATTTGCTGACACAATATGATCTCAGTACGGCATACAGTATGCCCACAGAATAACGACATGATGTTTACATTGATTATACCGACCAAGTCATGCCCAAAACATATTTTGTTCTAAGCCATTGTTGAGAACACAGGATCATTAAAATGGCCTTAGATACGCACGCACCCACACACTCACTGACTTGAAACGGAGCAGGGATGAGATTACAAGGGAAGGCACAAGACATGTTGTATTGAAATACCTTCATGGCACGGCCCTGCAAACACGCACTCGTAGCAGCAGCAGAGTACAGAAGAAGGCGTTCCTGTTCCTTTTTTCCGGCAAGGACACGGACAGAGCGTGGAGCCGTGGGTCCCACCCGGGTGAGGTTCCTTCCCTCCACGACCAACATCTCTCCGGTCCATGCGCTGGAGCGATTGTATGCCATCCTGGCGGTGCTGCTCTCGCCGCTTGGGGCTGGTTGTACGACCCGCCGCCGTTCGAGCGGGAACGATGCGTTTGGTTGACCCGTGAGGTTTGGAGGGGGAATTAATTTTCCAGGTCGAAGTCGTCCGGTTTTGAGGTGGGGCTGGAGTTGTTTTGGCCCTTACAGTGGTTTCAAAGTAGGTTCGCCCCAAGTGAATTAGACAGATGGGGCTCCATATGAACCATCAAACTTGGCGCTCAATCCACTTTAGGGAAACATGATTTGAGTTGTTCAGACCTGCACCCCTACCCCCCCAAACCCACCCCAACCACCTTCTTAGAAGGGGATTGGAGCCCAAGAGTTTGTTGGTCGCAGACCCATCAAAGGCCACTTGTTGGAGGGGCGCATGCTGTCTACATTGGCTGCGTGGTATCGGCTGTTCGGATCGCTTCCTGGGACTGACATTAGCCTAGAGGGACGGGGCATGGAACATATCCCATTGTTAAAATTCCTTTTGAGCACAGCGGCTAAGAGTTCCCCTTAGCGGCTTCTAATCCGTTTTTTCCTTTTGAGAGGAGGTTGGATAGACCCCTGAAAAGGAACAGTTTCCTCTATGTGGCTGTGGGGAACGAACCGGGGGCCCTTGGTTGACCACAGAAGATCAACAGAATGGAGGAAGGAACCCAAGAATTTCAACCTGCCAGGGTGAAATGGGTTCCAGGTTTCCACAGCCATGTCAACCTACTATGGTTTGGTGGGGGAGCCATGCAGCATTGGGCTACCATGTTCTTTCGCCCTCAGCCTGGGCCACGAGGTTCGGAGTGTCCGGGTGCTCAGAAGGAACAATGCAGCGTGCACGGCGGGTTGGCGGATTCAGCGATGGTTGGGTGATGGCTTCAGATATTATATTCATGTTCATCCTTGAAACCACCGACCTAAATATCCGTCAGCCACGCAGTCTTTAGTTATTTTCAAGCTGGTGGTTGAAGTTTATGTTCAAGCTATACTTGAGATGATTGATCCCACTGACTCACATATATATAATACTGAGTTGAAACCATCAACCAGATGTGTTTTCAACGTCAACCCGTACCGGTCACACACTTTCGGGCTCCTTCCAGCGACCGGGCGCTGAGCGCAAGGGCCCAAGGGGTGGGTACACTTGTGGCCGGTGTTGTTTGATCCAGACCGTGCTTGGTGTTCAATGTTTCAGGCCCATTCATGGACCTTGGGAGTGTTCCGGAGGGACCAAATTCTCACCCATTTTCACCTGGACCTGTGTTCCTAATTCCTGCATAAGTTTGGGCACCATCCAATGTTTGACATAGTCCCCAAACTACCAACGTTTGAACATCGTTTGTGAACAGTTTACTTGAACACGGTAAACATTATAAGACATATAAGAACCCGGTATAGTTCTGAGACGATACTGCTCGCAGTTTCCCAGCAGTCGCAACTGGTCTCGGCACAAAAAAACAAACACGAGCGAGAGAGAGAGAGAGAGAGAGAACTCCCTTACAAACAATCCCCAGACACTCCATTTGAATCCAGTTTGATTGGATTATCTTCCCAGGTTGACACCTTAAAAAAAACCCGCGCGTAGTCGGCCGACAGAGCGAGGCTTTCGTCGTTCATCACGGGCGTCACCAACACGGTGAATGCCCTGAGAGCTGTCCGGGTGAGCTCTTTGACCCAAGAGGCGGAGAGTGGGACCAGCGGACCGGGTGAAGTCCAGTGTGACTTAGGATGGGATGGGTCCAGGCAGTGAGTTGGAATGGGGATGGGTCGAAACCTTCAGCTTGACCAGTACACCAAGACCTTCCAGGTCTTCCAGGTATAGGTCAACCAAGGTATCACTGGTGCCCTGAACCCACAGCCATATTGGTTGCTTATGGGGTTTAGGGATATGGAATGCTACCATTGGTGGACCATTTCGGCCAACCAACAGATACCCAACAACTTAAGCGTCGGTTCGAGTCGTCGAGGCTCCTGATGGAATCACCCTACCCTCCTTGGGCTCGTTTGGCATCCCAGGAATATGTCTCATGACTTCAGGGAACTGCTGCTCAAAATGTGACCGACCTACACCTTCCTTTGGTGTATGAGTATACTCTTGGACCCTTAGTCCATTTTAGCCCATTTAGCTCGTAAGCCCCTTCGGTTCAGCTCGGGGACTACGACTCAATCATCTACTAAATCCCCTTAGCTTGGGGAAACCCGGACAGGCACGAACACCGCCAAGCTCCCGGTGCCAGGCCAAGCTCCGGCAGTTCTTCGTGGAACGCCACTGGGCAGTGAGATCGAACGTGCGGTGCGTGGTAATTGCTGATCATTGAGCTGAAGACCACCGGGAGGGATGGTTTGTTTCTCTGTTTGTTGGAGTACTATCACTATAACCAGCTACAGCTGTTAGCTGTGTCATGATTGGAAAAACGTCACACACACACACCTACATGCGATGTTCCACCGGGAGGGATGAGGAGCACAGCGCGAGTTCCGTGATGTTCCGGCAAGGCCGTGACTTTGCGTCCGAGCTTCGCAACTTGAGTAGGGGTAGATATGCACGGATCGGATATGTGAGGATCATGACAGATCTCTGAGATCTTTTGCGAGTCTCAGTTACTTCCTGTTTTGCCCCGAGCGCATGGCGCTCCGGAGAAGACCATACGGCTCCATTCCTTGTATGGCTACCTTGTGTCATGTCCACACGCCCAACCGGTCAACCGGCGGCGGTGGAGGCACCATTTGGCCCCAGAAGGTGGGCTAGACTTCACATTGTTCTTTTTGGGGGGGAGGCGTGCAGAAGTCTTTGGTGGGGGCTGTGCGTTGTCCATCCCAAACATTCCATGTATGGAATGGATGCCTACATTGGGCTGGTTTCAACGGTCAATGTACGTAGGATCATGTAGTATAGGATCGTGTATGCATGTATTCTATACATGGATCACGGGTTGTTTGGGTATGGCACAAGCCCGCACTCCTGTGTATGCCGCCCCTTCTTCGGAGCGAAACATCATCCCAACCACTGTGTGCAGGACACCGTGGCAGCCGACTGTCGATGCTCAGGACGCTTGCCCGCGCGGCTCCTGAAGCTTTGTTTGAACGCCTATCACGAGAAGGCGGATTCGGCCACCATCTTCGAGCAGGAGCCGATCGCGCTTTTCCGGGAAAACCGGGTGGTATTCGGACGGTATTGTGTGTGGTGCACTCCGATTATCGGACCAGTTGGGAGCAGCTGAGTGGCTGAAGCTACAGCTGAGTGGCTCCAGGTATCCCATGAGTCCACTCTTAGCAGGCCATGTAATGATTTTGGAGGAATGCCTTCGAAGATCTTTGAAGTGGATGGCAGGGCGCGTCTGCGTGGGCCCAAACTCAAACATTGTCATGGTTGCAAACTAAGAACCAAAGCGCATGGTTTGTAAGCTGGCCGACGACAACAGTTTTCCAAGCGCATGCCTGTTTGTATGGCAGCTTTCCGTACTGTAGCAAGCACGCCCTTCAAAATTTGCTACTGTATATACTCTTGCTTTATAAATGGAGAATGTGGCGGCATACTTGAAGGACTGCATTTTGATTGCATGACATATCCATGACATATCCATTTAAGGATTGCATCTCAGTAGTTCAATTGGGAGTGAATAGTGGATATGATATGTCATCAGAATCTGAGTAGTTGGCTTAGCTTCGCCTTGCTTTGTCCCTCTATGCAGCTTTGACCGCCTGACCAGCGACAGTTGTTTTTTGTACGTCTTTACACGTGCCCAGATCAGGATCGTTTACGCAGAAAATGGGTGGATCAAAACTGCAGAGATTCCAATGAAATTGATTGTCCAGCCTTTTCAAGGTTACCTTTTTGGAGTCGCTAAGTGACCCTTTACAGGCCAACATGCCATCCACCAAATGAATGAAGATCCCAAAGGTCCTTTCAGATGCCAAGAGGTTTGACTGTTGACCAGAGTTGCCGGAATGCATGTCTCAGCCTCAAGGGTGCCTGGGGAACAGCGCAGCTGTAATAGCAATTAACTTCACATGATGTTGATTTGAAACATGCATAGGCCATGGGACAATCAACTTAAACACTGCGAAGCATCAGAGGGACTGAGAAGCAAACATGTTGGATCCTCCATCATGAGGCAATCAACACATGGCGCTTTCCTTCTGGTTTTGGCCGGGCTGCATGCCTTCCTACGGCCCACACTGTATGACAGTGGTTTCCTGACAACCAGTTTTGAGATCAAGTTCGCTCATGCAGCTCCTCGACGGCACACTCAACTGAGTGCCAAGCCGCCTTCAACAGAGCACTTATCAGGCGGTGAATTCAACCGAAGAGTCACAAGTTCAGCTTCTGCCTCAGAAATGCTACAAGTCTTGCACTGTCAACGCCGCAACCCAAGCCACAATTTGATCACAGTAGGAGCTGCTTGGTGTACCATGGCACGCTTGCAACGTTCCATCACCCGAGAGGTGGTTTCAGATCCCTACCTGGACGAATTCATTCAAGATACTCGCCGGATCTTGAAACGGTCATTGCAA